CTCTAGCCTGGGCAAAAGAGTGAGACTCTGTCTCAAAAAAAAAAAAAAAATCCAGGCTATTATTCGAAAGCCTTAATGATTACATAACCACTTTCCTTGCTGGAATCAGTTGTCTTTAAATATTGAAAGATGGCATTTAGCTTGGGATTGGAGTGACTACACAGCTTTGAAAACACTTTTTTCCAGGTGCTCTGGACCCCTCGGGTGTTGTCAAATGGCATCCAGTTCTCGCGCGTCAGTCCAGATGGTGAGGAGGGCTACCCTGGGGAGTTAAAAGTCTGGGTGACATACACCCTGGATGGTGGGGAGCTCATGGTCAACTATCGAGCCCAAGCCAATCAGACCACGCCAGTCAATCTGACCAACCATTCTTATTTCAACCTGGCAGGCCAGGTAGGTGAACTTGGCTTCTTCTCTCCTACTTCTAATCTCCTGCTTTGTGAAATGACCCGGGGCTGTGGCTGGAAAGACCAACCCAGTATGGAATTATTCCACTGTTGGGGTGATCAAAAAAGGCCCAGCAAAGGGCTCATAGTAGGTGGTCAATAAATGGAAGTTATAGAGAAAAATAGAATGAGTATGTTGTACTTCCAAGAGAAGCATGTGTTTCCCATGTGCTTCAGACAAGTAACTGGCTATTTCAGGAACTCCCTCTCATCTCCTTGTAATGTGTGCTTATGTTGGCTTCCCTTATTCCACTTCTGCTCCCCCCAGATACTTCCAATGAAGGTGCTTTCCGCCCTTGGATCATCGGCCCCGCCCCTTTAGCTACACTGCCCATATGTGTGTGTCCCACTGTGTAGCCCAACAGCTCCTCACGGGGCTTTGGGTGGCCAGTCATGCCCTGCACAGTACAGTGGCAGGAGCATTGGACTTGGATTGAGAAGACCTGTGTTTAGTCTGGAATAAGGAAGGAAATTAAAAAAAAAAAAAATGGGGTTTTTAGATTAATAATCACACTCTCAATTTCATAATAATAGCTACCTACTATTTGTGGGCCACTATTAGAAGCACTTTGTGAAGTCGTTGATAAAGACTCTCAACCCAGCACAGGGGTAAGCTGCAGTGGGAAGACACTTGAAACGTCCTCCTGAGAGTGGTGCAGAGCCACTGCCAACCCCTCATCAGTGCCCCCCTCTAACCTACCTCATTCCCTCCTAATGGTAACGTTTCAGCTTGTTGAGGAGGTCGTCACACCAGACAGAGGCCAATACATCAGACAAAATAAAAAGCTTAGTTAGCTAGGCCGGGCGTGGTGGCTCACACCTGTAATCCTAACATTCTGGGAGGCCGAGGCGGGCAGATCGTTTGAGCTCAGGAGTTCGAGACCAGCCTGAGCATTAGC